CCACCCTGAATTTACAACCTGCTTTCCTTTCTCTGTGTGTGCAGCTGTGGGAGGGAGAGCTGTGTCTGCAATGTGGGCAGGAGCCACCTGTGTCATCGTGCCTCAGTTTCCCCAGACACAGGCTCTCACTCTGAGGTCCAAGATGAAGGACACCTTGTAGATGACGGTAATTATTCACTGTTGCTTTTTTTATAGGTCCTCTAAAGGATTTCTCTCAATCCCTCAAGGATGCTTGTGGGATCTATTGCAGGCAGATGCTGAGATGCAGCTCCTGTTTGCCCATCAGTAGCTCTAGGCCTGTCCTCGGGCTATTTAACATGGAAGGTACAAGAATTACCCCCAGGGGTATATATCCTCACCCCAGCGTCCTGTCTTCAACAGAGTCCATGCCAGAGACCCCAGAGGTACAAAATCCTGGGCAAGACAGTTTGTAGCTTATTAAATTTAATCCTGGCCAACACCACTGTTGTTCCAGTTTGTGCCCAGTTTGGAGATCCTGCTGAACTCCACTGTGAATTTTCATGGCAGGGCACCCTGCAGCTCTGCCTGCTCTTGGTTTGGGAGATACCCTCCTCTAACTGCATTGAAAGTCTCCTGTTTTGGTGCTGCAGGGGCAAATTTGTGCTCCTTTACCTCAATCAATGCTTTGTATGCCTCTGCCTTCCTTGTTTTCACCTCTATCCCATCCCCTCTTCTTCTAAAACTAAATAGCCTTAAGTCTTTTTAATCTCTTCTCATGGATTATTGATACTATTTGTTGCAATTCTTTGGATCTTTTCCATTTCTGCTGTGTGCTGGCAGGGATGATGGGGTGATGAGCAGACTCTGCTGAAGGTGAAGTTTTATGAAGTCACAGCAGCTCTGCCACCTCTCCCCGCTCTGTCCAAACTTTGGCAAGGGGCAGCTGCTCCCCATCACACCCCCTGCTCCTGGAGCTCCCTGCAGCAGTGCCAGGCTGCTTCCCTGTGGTTTTATCTCTCAGGAGGAGACCCCATCCAGCAGCAGAAGGATCTGTAGTTTTCTCTCTGTGTGTTTTGTTGCAGTTGAGATCCACAGTCGCGTTTCCCAGCCCCGGCTCCTTTTTGAGTTCTTGACTGCTGGGACTCACAGAGCTGTTCTGAGCCCCCCAGGCCTTGTTGCTGCAGGGTCCAGAGCCTCTCTGGACCCCCCCAGACACAGAGGTGCTGCTGCTGCTCCCCATTATCCCTTAGCAGCATCCCTGTGTAACAGGGAGCAATCCTGTTCCCCTTCCTGACTCTCTCCAGTTCTCTCCCATCCACAGCCTCAGCAGCTCCTTGTGTTTGCAAACCCAAACCCACCAGGGGGTGATGCAGGCAGTGCACAGGCTCCTGTTTATCTGGGGAGGAGGCCCAATTTATACAGAATTATTTGTGGCCAAGGGCTGGCAGGTAGAGCTCCCCACTGCCTTCTCCTTGCGTCCTGCACTTGGGGGTCTCAGGGGAGAAATCCCCTTTACAAAAGGGTTCTCCCCACTCAGCCAGTCAGATGGATACTTATTTGTTAAATATTGTTAGTTAAATATTATTATTAGTTAAATCAGTTTGGTTTTGGTGGGGTTTTTGTGTTTTGGGGTTTTTTTGGGTTGTTTTGTTTTTTGGTTTTTTGTGGTTTTTTTTGTTATTGGAAGGGAACCAGGCTGATTCCCTGATTTTATCCCTTGGGTTTCCTTCAAGTTTGGCTTTTACTGCTTTTCCAGCTTGCTGAGGGGTTATCTCACTTCTGTTTCAGCCACAAGGAAATGAGTCTTGATGTCCATCTGAAATGTGCTGGGTGCTGGCTTTTCTGCCATCCTGACCACAGCAGTGTCAACTTTATCAGAAGCTGAGCTAAACCCTGCCCTTTAACCTGGGGGGAAAACAGGATTTGGTCTCATGCTAATTGTACTGAAGGCTGAGTGACTTTTTTACTCTTTTCTTATTCCTTGGTTAACTCCAGCTGCCCCCATAGCATTCAGGAGCCATCCCCCAGATACCAAAACCTGCAGGGAAGCACTGAAGGCCAAAACAAGGTAACAAAGCTGCTAGGAGCAATTGGAGAGGAGATTGCTGAGATTTCTGCCAAAGAATTGAAAAGCTCCAGTTCCTGCAGTGGGACCCCCCCAGCCCAGGTAGGCAGGCTCTCAGCTGACAAGAAAATCAGAATTTTATGGAGCTGAAGGTCACCCTTGGGCCAGCTGTGGGGGGACAGAGAGCAGCAACGTGGTCACCATGGTGCTGGAAATGTCATGTCCAGCCAGAGCATTTGTTTTGCTTTCCTATTGTCTGCTGTGCTAAAGAAAGCTTTGTTGGCAAATAGACTTCATGGGAAGTTTATCTCCCTGCTGCTGACTTTGTGCAAAGCAAAACAAAAAAAAATAAAAATAAAAAAGAAAGAAAGAAAGTAATAATAAAAAGAATCCAATGTAAATTCCCGGGAGGAATCAGGAGGTCAAGTTTAAAAATAAAATAAAATAAAGGAAGGAAGGAAAAAACTGCACCAAACAACCCATCAGCACCAGCTTGAGGATGAAGAGAAATGCTGTGGGCTGAGGAATAATGGTTTGAAGTTTGCATCGTTATCAGAGGGACGTGCCCCACATTTACAATGCTCTCTGAAATGTATCAGGGCTTGTGCAGCATAATGGGAGCAACCTGGGGGTCGGTCAGACCCTCCTTCAAGGCCAGGAGGACCAAAAAGAAGATTTGCATGAGGCATTGCAGCCTGTCACCCTGCAGGAGAGAGACCTTGGAGGGGCTGGGTGAGAATCACTGGCTCATGTTCATATCTGTGTTTGTTAATGAGCTCCAGAGGTGTCTGTGCCTCCCCTGTCTGATTGAAAAGGTAAAAGAGCCATTTTATAAAAGGGGAAACTGAGGCACACAGAGGCTGGCTTTGCCCAAGTTACCTTTTTGCACTGAAAGCAAACACATTCCCTCTCCTCTGAGCACATCCCTGTGCTAGTGCTGCCTTTCCCAAGGCTGGATCTCCTGCAGCCCTCAGGATTATTCAGCACATCTCCCTCCTGACCTGCCACAGGCTCCTTTATTCCCCGCTGGGCTCCCCAGGTGGATTTGCCAGCACAGCTCATTCCTGCCCTGCAGGACCTCTGCTATTTCAGGCCAGGCTGCCTGCAGCTCCCCCAGGTTTCTCTCCTCCATCCTCCCTCCCTGCAGCTGCTGACAGCTGCACAGACCCTGTGGAGCTCCAGCAGCACGGCCAGGTGACACTTTGGCTTGGGCACAAGGTCTCCCCACCTGGGATTGGCAGGGAGGGGAAATCTAGGCTGTCGTGTCCAATTACATTTTTCCCTGGGTGACCTTTGTTTCCATAACACAATTTTTATTATTTGACTTTGTAATATTGATTTTGATTTCCTTTTTTTGATTCGTTTTCCTTTCACTCTTTTCCTGCAGGGAGTGACTTGGTTCACCTTCAGCATCTGCTTGCTCTGCGGTGTGAGGCAGGAAGGGTCACTTGTCCATGGAAAATGACGTGGAAGAAAAGCAAGGTTTTAAAGAGGGCTTTGTGTATGAGCTGGGCTTGCTTCTGGTGCCTAATTTGGTCCATCCTGAACACCCCTTGGCTTCATGGTGAGTTGTCTCCCTCATCCAGAGGTGGATGGGAACTGCATTGCAATGAAGCAGCTCTGGATGTGGAGCTCCTCCAGTCTTTGCTGGCAGCAGGAGCATCTTCTGCTTGGAAGGGAGAGTTTTCCACAGAAATGTGTCCATCTCCTTGTGCTCCCTCTTCAGCAGTGACCAGTAATGATGCTTAAGATGAAGGAAGAAGAGCTCAGTTGCAGCAGGCTGAGTCTAAAGTGCATTTCCTACAACCCTGGTGTGTCCAGCAGCCTGTGCCATGAGATGACAAAGTGACAAAATTACAAACTTTCCTCTCCTCTGCCTGCTCAGTGCCCTGAGGTCTGTGATGCAGTGTGGCACTAGGTGATGCCCAAGCCATCCAAAGTGTTTGGGACCATCTGTGTCTCTGGGAAGATGTCTCTGTGTCTCTGGGAAGATGCCCTCATTATCTGCAAGGGGAAAGCACTGCCCCAGATATCCTGTTCCCTTCCTCTGAAAGGAGCAGGGCCTTCCCTCCAGTTCTGTCCCCCAGAAGGGTCAGGGCAGGCTTCAGAGCCCCTGCTCAGAGCTGCTTTTACTCTTCAGGGACAGCACAGATGGACCATGATGTGGTCAGCAAAGTCAGCAGCTGAGCTCCAGCCATGCACAGCAAAGATCTTTATTCAATTATCTGCCAGGATGCCAATAAGCCCAGGAGGATGAGCCATCGATGTGAACCCCTCGTGTGGGGGGTGAAGGGACAGCCAGACGTCTGAGCACTGAAATTGCTGACAGAAACACCTGGGAGTGCCAGACACCTCGTTAGCCAGTGAATCCTGTGCTGGTGATTCACACAATTTTGTTTCCACTGTGAAATATAGTCCCCACTAGAGGGAAAAGATTAAACCAGAGAAAGAACCTTTACAGCCTTTTCTCAATTCACCCTCACCTTCCTAATTATTTTAAATGTACAAAGGGCTTGTCATAAGCTGTTTAATCTCTCTCTCAGTTTTTCTTTCTAATAATCCCAGGGCCTGGGGTTCTTCTCAGCATCCTCCTCAGATCCACGTCATCCTCCTGTGGCAGCGTGGGGCCAACAATTTTTTTCCCTATTTACTTCTTTTCACTAAGACTAAGACTTAGTGAAAGACTAAGAAAAAGACATCAAAAAGCTTTACTTTAAGCTGCCTCCTTAACAGATATATGTGAAAGTGCAATTTATTTATTTTTTAATTAATCCCCCAGTCCCAGTGACCTGAGTCTCTCCCTCCTGCCCACCTGGCTGTTGTCGTTTTACAGGTGGGGAAGCCCTGAAACATTGAGTGACCTACCCCAAAAATCCATCCAATGGATTTGCTGGTCCTGGAGTGGAGATTCATCTGGGGAACAAAACAAAACAACAAACCAAAGGTCAGTCACCAAGCAGGGAAGGGACCAAGGTGTTTCAAGGTTGGGATGTTGCAATAGGACAAGGGGTAATGGCTTTACAATAAAAGAGGGTCAATTAAATTACATATAAGGAAGGAATTCTTTACAATGAGGGTGAGGAACCCTGGCACAGGTTCCCAGAGCAGCTGTGGCTGCCCCTGATCCCCGGCAGTGCCCAAGGCCAGGCTGGACAGGGTTGGAGCACAGTGAGAGGTGTCCCCAAATCCTTCCAGGGGGTTTGGAACTAAATGACCTTTAAGGCTCCCTTCCAGCCCTGACAATTTCTGTGATTCCATCACTCCTTGTCCCACCTGCAGGCAGAGGACAGCGAGCACCTGAGGGATGATCCCTGCCGGGCTTTTCTCCTCTTCCTCGCCCCGAGGCTCCTCCTGGCTGGGGCTGCGCAGGGCGGGGGGAGCCGGCGGCGCCCCCAGCCCCATGTGCCGGCAGATGCTGCCCTCTAGAGCCTGCACCCAAATCTCGCCTTTTTCCAAGGAAAAAGCTGCGAGGAAGCGAGCCCTGACAATCCTGACAGTCAGAATGGGAGAACCGGTGGAAACTCACCCCGGGGTGAGAGCACTGAGGGGGATCAGCCCAGGGTCATGGGGGATGCACAGGGGAGCCTGGACAATCTGCCCAGACCATCAGGTCTCCAAATAAAAATAAAAATTAAAATAAAATAAATAAATTAAACATAATAATAAAACTAAAACTAAAAATTAAAATAAAATAACAACAAGACAACAACAATAATAGTAGTAGTGGGAAGAAGAGGAGGAAGAAGAAGGAGGAGGAGGAGAAGAAGAAGAAAAGAAGAAGAAGGAGGAGAAGAAGAAGGGGGAGGAGAAGAAAAAGAAGAAGAAAAGGAGAAGAAGAAGAATAAAAGAAGGAGGAGGAGGAGAAGAAGGAGGAGGAGGAGAAGGAAAAGAAGAAGAAGGAGAAGAAAAGAAGGAGAAGAAGAAAAGAAGAAGGAGGAGGACAAGGAGAAGAAGAAGAAAAGAAGAAGAAGATATTACTAATTTTAGTATTAAAAACTGTATTTCCCTAAATAATTTCCCTTAATAATAAAAAAAATAAATATAATTTATTTTAATACTAATAATAATTAGTAATTTAATACTAAATACTAATTTAATACTAAAATTAGTAATATTAATTAAAAACTAAAAAATACTAATACTGAATAGTAATTTAATACTAAAATACTAATTTAATACTACTAAATAATAATAATAATAACAATAATGCTAATAATTTCCCTTTAAATAACTTCCCAGTTATTCCATGCTACTAAAGCCCACTCTGACAGGTTTTTTTGGGGTGAATGGCCACTTCCCCCTGGGATTTCTGCAGGACAAACCCAGCAGCGCCCTGATCCCACAAGCGGGAGGGGAACGGGAGAGCAGGGCTGGGATGGGATCAGCCGGGATTTGGGCTGAGGCTCACTAGAGGGCAGGAGAGCTCTGTAACTGCGCAGCTCCAGCCTCGCCGGCGCTTCTTGCACAATTTCCCCGTTCAGTGGGTCAGCTGCGCAGCTCAGTGACTCAGGAAATGACCCTGTGGGGCTGCACTTTGTGGCTGTGGCTTTCCCTCGGTGCTGCCAGCCCGTCTGGGGCAGCCTCCAGAGAGGGGTTCCACCGTCTGCAGCTTTTGCTGCCTTCTTCTCCCAGCGAAGAAATATTCAGGGAAGGAGGCTCCAGATGTTGCCCCCACATCTGGCATGTCACTGGCTGCAAGGTGAACTTTAGCACTGTGCTCTCATCGGTAACAAAGCAGGTACCCAACATATTCTTCATTTCTTCTTCCTGATGTAGCATCAGCACCTGAAAATTTGGCTCTTTGTGGGGTGTTCAGCATTTCTCCCTCTTGAAGGCAACCAGCTCCTGCCATCCCTTTCCCTGTACCCAAATGTGCTGCAAGAACCATCCCTGTGGGTCTCACACCGCCCTGTACCAGCCTGAAAAGTGACATCTCTCTTCACAGACCTCCTCCTACTCTCCAGCCACAGCTCTGCCCTTAACAACACGCTCAGATGGACACCATCAGCTCTGAGCTGTTTTTCCCCAGCTGACTCCAGGGGATATTTAGAAGCATCAGGTTTTCCCAGCGTTGTGAGTTACATCTCAATGCAGAAACCACGAGAGAAACTCCAGCATCCCCCGGAAGGCAACACATCATGGGCACAACGGGGCTTTTTATATCAGAGACTATGAAAAGACCTTCCAATTTAGTAGCTGTTCTGTTCATATCTCACATTATTGCACACACGCTCCTTCTCCCTTGCCCAAGCCTGAAAACGGGAGGGTGTAAGAATAGCAGCTTGTTACTTCATCTGTCTGCTTCCTGTGTGTACTCCCAGTCGGGTCTGCTCTCATTAGCATCACCCTCTGCAGCTCCCTGTTACTACTGCTCACTAATACCAGTGAGTCAGCACAGCTCAGCGTGGCTGCCACAGCCACCATTTACATCTGTGTGAGCCAGGGGAAAGCCTCCACCTAAATCTTGCTTTTTTTAAACTGGATTTATTAAGTAAATGCACTCAGGAGCTCTCCATAAGCCTCTCAATGAAAAAATTGGGAGAAAAATGCATACTCTGCCTTTTAGACATTTCTTGCTGTGCCTTTTGCCTATCCCTGGGTGTGTGAGATGTTTAAACAGCTCATGAAGTCACTTTCAAAGTTGTGTGTAAGGAAAGCTTACAAAAATAGCAGCCTCGTGAATGATTTATTTGGTAAGGGAAGTAAACAACCTCTGACAGCTCACCAGGCTGCAGATTTATTGGCCCGTAGCACAGGGCTACCTGTAAGTCATTGTTGAGATGTTTGTCCCTAATTAAGTTGTAGAAATGAGTTCATTTCCAAACAGGACCATAATTATTTTATTATTGCCCGGAGCCCTCTCCCCGGGCTGTGCTGTCACCTCCCTGTGGAGTGAAGCCACTTGTCATCAGGGAGCTGCCACTGCCACTGGGCTCAGATTAAAGCAGTGTGTGCTGGGGTGGCAGACACAGAGCTGGGGTGTCAGGGGACAGGAGCAGGATCACAGAGCTGGCTGGGGCTGCTCTGGGCCTTCCAGCAGCCCTGCTGGGCAACCTGGGCTCACGTTTGCCTGCCCTGAGTGTGGGTTTGGGGTGTCTGTAGGTGCTGTGAGGATGCTCTGGTGTGACAGTGTCCACAGGGGTTTTCAGGATGAGAGAAGAGAGGTAGATCTGACTCCATGTTTCAGAAGGCTTGATTTATTATTTTATTATATATATATTACATTCTAACTATACTGAAAGAATAGAATAGAATAGAATAGAATAGAATAGAATAGAATAGAATAGAATAGGTTTCATTTCAAAAAGCTACCTAAGCTAAGAATAGAATAGAAAAGAATGATAGCAAAGGTCTGTGGCTCAGACAGAGAGAGAGCTAGCTCTGCCGTGAATGGTCACTAATTCACTAATTCTAAACATCTACACGAGACCAATCACAGATCCTGATGTCCATCCCAGGATCCCGATGCCCGTTCCTCGATCCCAGTGCCCATCCCGGGATTCCATCCCTTGATCCCGATGCCTATCTCAGGATCCCGATGCCCATCCTGGGATTCCATCCCAGGATCCTGACGCCCATCCCACGATCCCGATGCCCATCCCACGATCCCGGTGCCCACCCCAGGATCCCGATGTCCACCCCTCGATCCCGATGCCCATGCCAGGATTCCATCCCAGGATCCCGATGCCCATCCCGGCGTTCCACCCCTTGATCCCGATGTCCTTCCCAGGATCCCGATGCCCATC